GTTTAGCTAAATTACTACAGTCAATTCCATTTGACACGATTCTATATGCTCAGAAAAGTGAATAAATATGCATTTGTCTTTTATTAGGGAACTTTAAGCGACTTGGGAGGGAGTGTTTTGACAAAAAAATACTATTAAATTGCTATTATCATGAATTATGACCATTGCTTCATCAGAAAAGATCGTCAATTTATCTTACTCCATCACTTGATTAAATCACTATAGGAGGCGATTTATTAAAATAACGTCAATTAAGTCTTCGAACACACTATATCAAGATTTTTTAGCATTGGGCAATTTCTATAGTTTCCAAAAATCATTGGACAATAAATTTTCAACTATTGGGCGGGGTGTGGGTGTGGGTGTAGGTGTGGGTGTGTGTGTGGCCGTGGGTGTGGGTGTGGGTGTGGGTGTGGGTGTAGGTGTAGGTGTAGGTGTAGGTGTGGGTGTGGGTGTGAGTATAGATGTGGGTGTAGTGAAGAGAAGGTACACCGACATCCACATATCCACACCCCACACCCACACCCACACTCACACCCACACCCACACCCTCACTTGAGCATGATATTTATTAACCTAATCGATTAAGCTCACAATTATGTTCTTCAGTTTGTGGATGAGTATGGGTGATGAAGAGATCCTTACAACGACACTCACACACGCATTCATCCCCGTACTTAAACTCAAATCTGCATTCATGCCTACACTCATATCTCACACTCGACCGCCACGATTGGAAGTAGAACATTTGTCCATCAGTTCACCAATTGGCAAGTCTCATCTTCATCTTTGACCGAGAACCATGAAGAAATATCATTAGTGTAGTAAAATCGAAGAAAAGTGTATTACAAGAATGAAAAAGAAGTGCATATAGAGAGAACAACAAGTAGGCAAGAAAGTGAGAGATAAATATCGTCTATTGAATTGTTCATTCACCCCGAACCTAAAATGAAATGAAACAGAAAAATATATTAGAGCAGATTTAATTATTGAAGTTCATTTCAGTCTTTTAAATGATCAAACATTAGGTTCATCTTCAAGTTTCCATCGCAATTTTGAATATTTTTCTACTGCAGTTTTAAATAGTCACTTATATATCACACAGGGGAAAGTTGTATCTAGTCGAAAGGTGAATTGTGAGATTCAGGCCATTCCTTAGAGAGACCAGATTTGGTTTTCTTGCCGTTATTACAGAATTTTAAAAAGATGTCCTCTACTGTTTTTTTAATAACCTCTTAAAGGAATAATATAGAGGCCCGCCGGTCTCATCGATTGCAAAGTCAATGTCGGGGGTATAGATCTGTATTAATATTAATTTTTTAAATAGTAATTGTGGCCATTTCTTGGAGAATATTTTTCGACACGATACTATCAAAAGACGACCTAGTGAATTTTGGAACCAAATATGGTCGGTTGATAGAAAAAGTAAGCTATTTCAATGTATGTATGTATGTATGACAAGCCTTGGTACCTTCCCTTGCTAAAGTGTTACAAACATTTTTCCAAAAGTGTCGAAATTGACTCCATGACATAGTGGTACTCTAACCAATGTTAAATCGGATGTTGTTGACCATACTGATTCGACTAGTCATGCCAGTTTTCTTTGTCAAAATGATCTGTAATCACTGAGTTCAGATTCTGGAATTTTCATTCTCAGTAGCTACTGACTATTATTAGGGACTGACCAAGTGTATCATGAGAATATAGACTCTTTTATTTCAGATCCTGTTAACAATGAAAATCAACATAAATAATCGACTCAGTATGATCAAAACCTTCTAATTTTGACCTTTCTTAGGGTACAACAACATCATGAAGTCGATTTCTAGACTCTAGAGACATTTTAAGACTTACTTCACGAGTGCATCGAAAAAGTCGATGTGATGACTAAAATTAAAATATTCTTCTTTTTTTTTGCATCAATCGTTTTGTTATATTAAACTAAGTCATGAAAACTATTTTAGGATTCCAGAACTTCATTCGTGGGAGTTATAGGTCTTGAAGCATGGCGACTTCAAGGCAATGAAAAACAAACCCTTCTCGTTCTGTTTATAATATCATTGTCATGTTTTCGTAGGATTTGTTCGAACAAAATCTCATGCAAGAAGGTTCGTATAACTAAACAACATAGTTTATCATAGCTGTGCAAAAGAAGTTTTCTAAATAATTGAGTTCTTCTCTATACTAAATTTTTTAGATTTTAAATTATTTTTTAATATGATCATTAAACGGTGAAAATTTTAATATCGCGGATCTTCTAGACAATATGACGATCGACGAAATCGATGTAAAGATATGAACGGGAAAGTATCAGTAGGTTTTCAAAAATTGGAAACAAACGACGAATGTCTCTCCTTGAAATTTTAGCCAATTAGTATAATCAGGTGATTTTCATGCACTAGAGAGAACACATTCTGTTCCACGATGCTGAGTATTGGGGAACCACTTCCGCCCATGGAGCTAATTCCACATAGTTTTCGGAATTTCATTTCTTACTACCAATACAATTCGGCGTTTCAAGTAATCGATTCCCACAATCCACACTCGTACTTCGATTGTTACTATCTAGTAACTGTTATTTCGGGAGCCAGTTCCTACCAATTCCTAGGCGTCCCCAAAATTGCCCCGAGTTCAGAATTGCACAGAATTAGACGGGATTCTCGAAATTGAAAGAATTGATTCGGGAATCGAATGAATTTCATGTCTGACTCAATCTCAAAACTCTCGGAATTCATGAAATTGATTCCTAGAGTGGAACTGGTTCTGCAATATACAATACTGTGAAATAGGATGATCGCTCAGTGAAAAATTTTTGGTTGATTTTAATCGAATTATTCTGCAACAAAATCAAAATTAAAATCCATGGGTAATTTTGATTTTGCTGCAAAATAATCCATTTTTTAATCAGAACATTTCATATTGAATAAGTAGCAATATTAAATAATGGTGATGACATGATGAAACATAATCAAAATTACCAATCGATTTTAATTTTGATTTTGTCGCATAATAACTCGATTAAAATCAGTCAACATTTTTCACTGGGTACTAGCAACAATTACTGTTTATTACGTATATAAATAAGATATCTACATTGAATCTCAGCTAATGCCTTCCTATATTGAACATTCAAACAAATTGTACCATTTTCTTCTATTTCTTCTCTTTTGCACTCGCGTTGCTTAATTTTATGTATCCAAGATTCACTTCTGTCCACTCTTCATTTCAATAGATGAACAATAAAGAGAATTTTGTCAACATTTCTTTATAAATCTCTTGCAGATTATTAATTATCTCTCCATCAGATATGCTGAGCAATCTGATTTACTCGCAAAAATTCGAAAGCAAGCTATTGAGATCACTGACTTTTCCCAAGAAGAACAGAAAACAACTCTTTCAAACATCAATAGAAGACCAAAATATCAAAGCGAAACGTCAAAATAAGCAAAACAAAACTGAAACAAGAAAACTCGTTATCGAGTAGGGCTTAATGTGTTAAAATATGTCGAAATTATAAAAATCAAATTAAATATTATCAATATCTTAGAAAAAATAACTGCCCAAGTTCGGTATAATTCATCATAGTGCTCTTCTAACTGCTTGTTGACATAAAACCATGCAGTACAATCTATAAGAGCAGTGGTGGTGTCTTGATAGCAACCTAAGCAATTTCTCCAAACATAGAATACAACTGAATTTTAGATGTAAAAAAATAGGACAGAAGAGATAGTTTAAAGAAGACCGCATAGCATTGCACAATAAAGAACAATTTGCTTACGTTTTGCGTCTAAAAAAATTTCCGTTTGATTTCATCTAGAGCTTGATTGAATATAAATATCTTCATTGAAGTTAAATACGATGGTCCTTCTTTTGAATAGATTTTCCTACAGATTGTTTCACTAAAATTCTCAACTTCATGTGCAAAGGATTTCTCTCCATGACTTCCTTATCTTCATGTTCATTGTCACTTTCTTCTATTGCGAGTAAGTTCTTTCTCTACGCACTATGGCAACCAAAAAATGCTATAAACTGTGACACTTTCATAAATTCTTCAGCTGAAAAAAATAATTGCTAAAGATTTTATACTCTTGCATATAATCAATTATAGTACTGGCTTCCGTCATAGAGAATTCTTGTAACAGAATGCCTCATCAAACTCAGGACAAAGACTGAAACCGACTATTGCCATTATTGGATGACTGCATAAGAAAGTTTTGAATCGTAGCGAACATAACACTCGGTTCTCCATTGCTTCCAGTTTGGCTCTATACATCAGTACTACCGCATCACTGAGACATATCCTTTCTGGCAGCAAAGTATACTATACGCTGCAGGTATATCGTAAATAATTACTAAAATTGATAAATGTATCTATACATACATCCTTATTGCACTCGTATGCGTCAATAAAAAGAACTTTTATTTGCTTAGTAGAAGTCGCAGGTAAATGGTGAGCCAAATATTTTAGTACTTCATAGAAATTTTTTTTTTCTTTCTTTATTGAGAAATCAAGAATGCTCAAATTTGAGCATATAGTAGCTTGCAGTTAGGTGAATACTATTTTGAAATTTTATAGTTCTAGCCCCTAGCTATAAAAAAGATTTATACACCTGAATCATCGAGTAGCTCTTTTCTGTATGACCTGGCAAAATATTGATTGATAAAAACATCTAGAATAAATAACATTTCCTATAAAACACATTAATACGTTATAAAATAGTTTATGTATTCATATGCTGCTATAGTCTCTTTGTTCATCGAATAGGCTTTCTTCTTAATCAAAGATTTCAGTCGTGCGGATATTGAATTAATCCATTTGAAACACAGTATATCAGTGATAGTATTCCAAATTCATACCATTCTTTGTTTCAATAACAAGGGATTAGAACTGTCAAAATTTAGAATAGTATTCATCTAAAAACAAGCTATTATACATTCAAATTTGAGCATTTCTGGTTTCCTAATACAGACATAAAATAAAACTTTTCCATGAAGTATCAAGACTTCGCTCACTCTTTAGTCAAAACCAAACATATTTCTCAAAACCACATCACGAAATAACAAATCCATTGACATAACAGAATTCAAAAACAACATTACAAAATCATCCTCTCAATAAATCATTTATCAACTGATCATACTGTTCCAATTTACATCCTCAGACGATAGTACAAGTCACATAGCATTCAAAGCGTAATAGCTCGACGTTTTATGAAAGATATGGGATCGAAGACGACTAACGTCGATAGATGCCATTTCCATCTTTACCCTTTAATCACACATCTAGCAAGTAAACATGGATATCGACAAACAAACTCCCTTTCTCACCTGGACACACTCCACCAGTAACATTCGAAACGTAGGTGCAACCAGCACACGTGTAGTTCGAAGATCCATCAGCAAATG